TGACCAGAAGTGCAAACAGGACACCAGAGGTGCAAGTCTGGGCTCCACCATTTCATGTGCTGTGCATGACTCTGGGCCAGCAATCTTTCTGTGCCTCAGTTTACACCTTTGTAAAATGGGAACAGCCGTCCCTAAAGCATGGGGCTGTTGAAAGAATTCAATGACATCGTGTCCTCCGAGCACATAGTAGGTACTCATATGTGTGGCGTCTCGCTTTGTTGTTCTCACCGTTGTTATTCAAAGCAAGAGTTTTCCATCCCACCCACAGGAAGAGCTAGCTTGGAGCAATGTGAACAGGGGGGGACAGGCAAGAGCCTTGGGTGACTCAGGAAAGGTCACCTGACTTGGCCATGTGCCCTTGGACAAGCCACTTATATTTCCTGGAGTGGAAAATGGGGCCAATGCAGGATTTGGGGTGTGCCTCATACATTCTAAAGTGTTGCACACATACCTGATTCCATTCTATAGGAGGCTGCTGGATGACGCTTGTGGGGTGGTTAGGAGCTGGCATCAGACTGCCTGGGTTTGAATCCTGGCTCCACAACGTATGAGCCATGTGATCTTTCAAGTTATGCAGTCTCTCAGGGCAGGGCCTCGGTTTCATCATCTGTAAAATGGGGATAATACTTTACTAGCCTCCTAGAGTTGCTGTGAAAAATAAATGAGAGAATGCACATAAACTGCTTTGAGGACTGGCATAGAGTAAGCTCTCAGTAAAAGCTTCGCCCTCCTCCTCCTATTCCTATTATCACTCTGAAAATAAGACTCCCCCATGGGGCAGACCCTGCCGCCCAGATAAGACTGGCTTCAAGTAGCAAAGATGTTACCACACGCCAGAGTTGCAGGGTCCCCCAAGGTCAGAGAGGGAAGATTCTCTCACACCCACTCAGAGTAAGGGTCAGACCCAGGCGGGGTAAGGCTAGCCAGCACCACCTCTCCCCTACCAGCTGGGAGCCTGGAGGCTGAGTGACCTCAGGGGCAGCGCCCAGCAGCTCAGCTCAAGCCCTAGAACCTGGGAAGCTGAGGAGCACAGGATCTAGACACTCGGAAACCCCAGGGCATTTGCACGTCCTTTATGAATCTAGGGGGCCGTGCCCTGAGCACTCTGTGCCCAACATCTTAAAGCACCTTATCTCATTTGGTCCTCATAACAGCCCTTGAGGAGGGTGGAGTTTGTTCAAGAAAACAGGTCTGGAAAAGCAGTGATTTGCCCAAAGCTACATGAACAGGAGGTACTTGGGACCCCAAATTGCCCCATTCGCTTTTCTTCTTGACCCATCAAAGGTCACATCTGCTTAGTAAATCCCAACCCTAGGAGCCCAAGTCTAGCGACCTCGCTCTGTGCTAGGCACAGTGCTAGCGAACTCTTGGGTTGTCGGAAAAGTCATGACACGTTTTTGCGACAAAAACATAGAAAAAAATACGTCGTGACTTTTTCGACAACCCAATACTTGGCGTGCATTTCCTCATTTAATCTTCACAACAACTCTTCTACCTAGGTGCTGTTATTATCCCTGTTTTGCAGACAAGGAAACTGAGGCTTGGGTAGGTGAGGTGGGATGCTCAAAATCACACACTCAAAGTTGGCAGGCACAGGATTTGAGCCTAGGTCATTTGAAACCCTAGGCAATAGGGCCTCAGTTATTGACACTGCCCATCTCCCCCCCCCGGGCCTTGCCCTCTGGTCATGCCCATCACCTCCTGGCTCCGCCCACCTGCCCGAGGCAGGAGCCCCCAACTTTGGGGAGGCATGTAGAGTGTTACAGGATCCCTCAGTGGGCAGGCGACAAAGCGGGTGTGGGGCCAAACCTCGTGATTCTTCGTGCAGCACTCTTTCCAAAGTCTTCCTCTCGTCTCTGGCTTTGAGAGATCTCAGGGGGTTGGATTGGCCATTCCAGCCTGGGAAGCAGCACCCCTGCGCCTCAAGAGGCCTTGGTCTCATGCCCGCCAAATTGTTTGGTCAGGGCTGATTTCTGCTGTAGCCTCAGGCAGGCACAATAAGTACAGTCAAGACAACACATGCGCATG